AGGCGGCAGGCGGGAATCGAACTCATGCGGAAGTGGCTTCAGATTCTCAGTGCTGTGCTTTAACCCGCTGCGCCACCAGGGAGGGCCTCTTTTCTGTTTTTTTATGAAGTTTATTTCAAGACTAATAAAAAGTGTGGCATATAAAAACAACAGAAAATAAGGACAACACATCTATTTGTATTATCCATGCCCTGTGACTTGTAGGGAGAGACAAGTGGGTCATGGTGTGTGTATACACAAGTGCTCTTATAAATCAGAAGTTCACACCATTATGCTTTTGTATTGATTACTATTTATAAGCTGGCTAATTTTTTCATATTTATTTATTATATTTAAAAATACTATTATAGTAAGAAAAATTTCATTATAGAAAATTTTGGACAACCTAGACCATTGTAATTAATTTAAAAAATTGAACAAATAACTCCCATTGACATTTTGGTGTATGACAATGTATTTTTTCAGTATTTTAAATATGTCTATACATTTTCGATAGGCATTAAGTTCCAACAACTTTACTTTTCTTTGCAAGTATGCAAGATTTTATTTATATATGTTGATGTGTATTAGAAAAATATATAATCCACATGTCAAGTTCTTAAACAGGAATACATTTTTTCCCCTTTTTGAAAAAAGATTTAATATAAGAATTTGTTTAGTAAAATTCTCACATCTTTTCTCATTAGCATTAGATCTAATGAAAACAACTCGCTTGAGGATACAGCTCTATTGTAGTTGTAATTTTGAACCTGGCTTAAATGTAAACTGCAAGTTAACATGAAATATTATAGAAAAGGTAGATAATTAATAGAAGAAAATAATTCTCAACTTTAATAAAAGAATGACTGTGAAAAGGCAATGTGATTTATTTAGCAGGTTAATGCTCTAGAAACATATTTGCTTCTGAAAATCTTCTTGATCTTAGAGTGTCACAAATTCCTTTCATTATTGTTTTTTGAGTTCACCTATATAATTCTACATGGACTGGATAATTCCAAATCTTCTGTGTGGTATTCATTTTCATACACTGTTATTTATTTTTGTACAGTATTTGACTTTTCCTCTCATGTAGTCCCATAAATATCCTACCACATCACCAGTGACCTCTCACCCTACTCCCTGGGGCTCTTCCCTCTCCTATTTTGACCTATTTTCCTCCCCCTCTCCTGCTATATGCTTCAGATCTATAGTTTAGCATTAACATTTTCTTTGTTCAGTTTCTTTATATTCTTCCTACAAATAGAACCACCTGATATTTTTCATTTCCCTTCTAATTTACTTCACTGAGCATAATCCCTTCTAGCGCCACCTAGGTTGCTGTGAATGGCATGAGTTTATCTTTTTTGATTGCAGAATAGTAATCTATTGTATATATGTCATCTTTTTTTTTTTTAAGATTTATTTATTTCTGCATACAGAACTGGGGTACAGGCCAGAGACTCAGGGGTGGCGAAAGACTTCACCAGAGACAGAGTGGGGAGCAGAACAGGCAGATGGACGAAGTACACTGCTGAGGGGAGCAGTGGGCGGGTCAGGAGAGGTCTGCCACACCATGTGGTCACCTCCAGGGCAGGCGGGAATCGAACTCATGAGGAAGTGGTTTCAGCTTCTTAGTGCTGTGCTTTAACCCGATGCGCCACCAGGGAGGGCCCTATATATGTCATCTTTTAAAAATTTTTTTAATAATTTTATATATTTTTACATCATTTTTCAATTTTATACAATATATGCTTTATCATCTTACATTCAATCCCTGTGAAATTTCTACCACCAGTTCATCCATGCACCATCCATCACCATAGTCCATGTTCTCTTCCCACCCCTGCTTTGATCCTGCTCCTTCTTCCCTTCCTACAGAGTTTATATCCCTGTTGATTTTATATGCCACATCTTCTTGATCCATTTTTCTGTTGGGACATTTCTGTTGGGAATTTATTTTCTTCTCTCCTTGGGGTGAATTCCTAGGAATGGAACTGCTGGGTTATATAGTAGGTCTGTTTTTAGTGTTCTGAGGAACCTCCACACAGCTTTCCACGGTGGTTGGACCAGTTTGCATTTCTACCAGCAGTGTAAGGAGTTACTTTTTCTCCATATCTTCGCTAGCATTTGTCCAAAAACTTTATTTTTATGAACATTTGTAATTGGTTAATAATAACTCCTATGTTTATCATTACTTAACCATTTCTATATTGTTCAAACTTTTTTCCATATTTTTATAAACAATTTTCTCAGTGAACATAAATCTTTGTTTTTATATCAAATAGTTCGCTTAAAGTAGATTTCTAGGAGTAAAATTATTGGAACAAAAGATGTAAACATTTTAAAATAATATTGTAAGTAATAAAAGTAATACAAAGTATTATAGAAAACAGAAAGCATAGAATTAAGATGACTCATATTTACTCTTATCAGAGATGAACTTTAGTTAACTTTGGTTAGTCTTTCTCTATAAAAGTGTGTATGTGTATATAATTTTTAAAACAAGATTAAAATTTTAATCCTGTTTAGTTTGAGATTGTACTGGGAGCATTTTCCAATGCTGTGAAGAATCTTAGAATTCTTCATTTTAGGGCTCTCCCTGGTGGTGTAACGGGTTAAAGCACTGCATTATGAAGCTCTCCGAAGCCACTGCAGTACAAGTTTGACCCCTGGCCAGGGAGCTGATCCACATGGTGTGGCAGCCCTTCTGACCTGCCCACTGCTCCCCTCAGCATTGCACTTTAGTACATCTGCCTGTTCTGCTCCCCACTGGGTCTCTGGTGAATCCTCTCACTGCCTCTGCATCTACAGCCTGTACCCCAGTTCTGTAAGCATAAAATCTTTCTTTAAAAAAAGAGAATTCTGGGCCCTCCCTGGTGGCGCAGCGGGTTAAAGCACAGCACTGAGAAGCTAAAGCCACTTCCGCATGAGTTCGATTCCCGCCAGCCCCGGAGGTGACACATGGCGCGGCAGACCACTCCTGACCCGCCCGCTGCTCCCCTCAGCAGTGTACTTCGTTGATCTGCCTGTTCTGCTCCCCATTCTGTCTCTGGTGAAGCCTCTCACTGCCCCTGAGCCTCTGGCCTGTACCCCAGTTCTGTATGTATAAATAAATAAATCTTTAAAAAAAAAATAATTCTTCATTTTAAAAGGCCAAAGGTGTGGTGGGTGAGAGGACTCACCAGAGGCAGAGTAGGGAGCAGGACAGGCGGTTTGATGAAGTACACTGCTGTGGGGAGCAGCAGGCAAGATAGAAGTTTGCTGCACCACGTGGGTCAGCTCCCAGGGCCAGGGATCGAACCTGCACTGAAGCAGCTGTGGCCAGCTGTGGCCAGTGCTGTGCTTTAACCTGCTGCGTTACCAGGGAGGGCCTAAAGGGTGTCTGATGTATTATTATTGTGTACGATATGCCTTTTTTTGTTACCCCCCACCCATATCCATGATGTTCTTTCTAGTTTTAAAGTATTGTTTTTAACTGTCAGAAATAAAGTTGCAGTGAGCATTTTGTTTTTAAACTGTTGTGTTTCTAACCAGAAATATTCTTAGTAGTCTCAGAATTGGAATTACTTGACCAATGGATATGTGCATTCTTAGGATGTGTGTTCCAGATGCCTTCTAGAGTCATCACCAACAGAATGGTTGGATGCTATACAGTTTTTGAAATGGATTAGACATGAGTCTGTAGCTCTTTGTTCTGAGGAAACAGTCATAACTTTCACTTTCTATTTATTGCTTTATGGAAATTGCAGCATTTCTGGATTTTGATCTAACAGTTAAAGAAGCAATAAATTATTGCATCTTTAAGGGGAGAGATGAACAGGTAGTTGCTTAGACTTGAGTGAAGAGTCTTAGTCTAAGAATAAAAAGTCAAATCAAGAAACAGACCGTTGAAAAAGAGAGGTAGAATATAATTAACTACAATTTCCTCTCTCTCTTTTTTTAAATTTCCTTTGGAAATAAATTCTTCCCAGTTAAAATACCAATATTACAAGTTATCCCTGCCTACAAGGTCTGAAATAATTGAGAGGCTAAATGAACCCAAAGACTGATTAAGACTAAATAATTTTTCACTTTCTTTTAGACCTTATTTGCCTTTGTGCCAACTATATTATATTGACTGAATAAATAAAATATATAAAGAGATGAAGAAATGGATAAAAATTAAATTATTGTAAACATACACATATCAGGATAAAAGAAATGATGAGAATGTTCATTTTCAGTTTATTCATGATTTACCATAAAGTTTTGAAAAGAACTTTTTCAGGATGCATATATGTGTGCTTCATAGGCTACCTGCTGATAAGGAATGTTACTTACTTTTTTTTTTAGATTTATGCATACAAGACTTGGGGTGTAGGCCAGAGATGGGGGTGGAGCAATGTTGGGGGTGAGGGGGTAGGTGACGAAAGGATTCGCCAGAGACAGATTGGGAAACAAAACAGGCAGAGCCACTGAAACACACTGCTGAGGGGAGCAGCTGGCTTAGACAGGAGAAGTCTGCTACACCATGTGGGTCACCTCCCTGGCTGGGGATCAAGCTGTGCTGCAGTGGCTGCTGTTAGCTTCATAGTGCTGAGACTTAACCTTTTGGGTCACCAGAGAAGCCTCAGGAATGTTAGACTAGTTTTGATCCATACAGTTAATTTGACAAGAACATAACATTATTTTTAAAGGTCATTGAGCTTTAAATTTCTGTTGACCACTTGTTCTCAAGTTTTGAAGGAAACTGACTTTAACCCAAAGACTCCCTCTGCTGGGTAAGAATGGGGCTAAGAGCAGAAAACCAGAAGTTGGGCTTGAATAGTCACAGACTGCTTAGGGTACTGGTTGGAGTACCTACTGGTTTCTTGAAATCCTGGTGTTCTCCACAGGGTGCCTTCCCCGCCCGACTGAAGAAAGTGCTGATTGTGGGAGCGCCTATATGGTTCCGAGTGCCCTATTCCATCATCAGCCTCCTCCTTAAGGACAAAGTCCGAGAGAGGGTAAGCAAGCTAGTTTCCTTTTATTGGAAGGTGGATTAATATATTCCTATTCCCCTGCTGTTGAAATTCAAATCCTGCCAATTAATTTTCAACCTTCAAAAAATTCCTCTTGGCTTGTCTCTTAGAATACTTACTATTTCTGTTATGTATTCACTTACGTTCTCTGCTATTTTTTTAGTATTCAGCTCAGTACAGGCTGTCTCTCCCACTGCACTATAGGTTTCTGGACATGTGGAGCTGGACGTAGTTTGTCTGGCACACCATCCCTTCATGGTGTCTTGCTTAAAGATCATACTGAAGAATGTATCTCATTAGGAATGTAGGGACAGCTAATACTTTCGAAATTATGTCTAGTGTTGTTCAGGCCTTTAATATTTAACATCTTTTATTAAACAGTTAACCGTTGAACAACATGGGTTTGAGCTGCATGGATCCATTTGTACAAGGACTTTCTTATAGATAGATGTTGTAAATTTATGGTATTGATATGGGATAGTCCTATGAATGTATTTTCTCTCTCTCTCTCTCTCTCTCTTTTTTTTTTTTAACACTGTAGCATTTTCTTTCCTTGAGCTTTATTGTAGAACAAGTGTATAGAATACATATAACATAAAATGAGAAATGCGTGTGAATGGCCTGTTTATGATAATGGTAAGACTTTTCCAGGTGCAGGCTATTAGTTGTGAAATAGTATAAGATTTTTGTAGAATGGAATTACAGAATTCTGTGGATAATAACAATATAAATAATTATGTCTGAGGCAACATGGGTTGGAGAGAGGAAATTGAAGGCATTTAGAGACCTATTAACTCATAGTCAGAGAGATCTTTCCTAATAAAACTTTTTTTAAGAAGATTTATTTATTAAAGCATATAGAACTGGGGTACATGCCAGAGGTGCAAGGGCAGTGAGAGGACTCACCAGAGACCAGAGTGGGGAGCAGAACAGGCTGACTGATGAATTACACTGCTAAGGGGAGCAGTGGGCAGGTCAGGAGAGGTCTGCCTCGCCATGTGGATCATCTCTGGGCAGGCGGGGTTCGAACTCATGCTGAAGTGGCTTCTTAGTGCTGTGCTTTAACCTGCTGCACTACCAGGGAGGGCACCCTAATAAAACTTTTTGAGGTGCCTCCTTAGCCTTGTTCTTAACTTGTATTATATACAAAAGTGCTTATGAATTCAAAAAACATTGAGTATCTTTATAGTCTAGTTCTGGGCCCTGGGAATTAGAAGAAAGGACATTCCAGGAAGAGGAAGCCACAGGAGAGACAAGCTTTTAGGAGGAAGAGCCTTCCTTTTTTTTTTTTAAAAAAAAGATTTATTTATTTATTCATATAGAACTGGGGTAAAGGCCAGAGATACGTGGAGGGTGAGAGGATTCACCAGAGACAGATTGGGGAGCAGAACAGGCAGATCAGCGAAGTACACTGCTGAGGGGAGCAGCGGGAGGGTCAGGAGAGGTCTGCCACACCGTGTGGATCTCCTCCTGGGCAGGCGGGGAAAACTCATACAGAAGTGGCTTAAGCTTCTTGGTGCAGTGCTTTAACCTGCTGCACCACCAGGGAGGGCCCAGCCTTCCTTTTTAACACAGATTCAAAGGCTAATTTAGTCTAGCATGACTGGTTTAAGATAAAGAGAAGAATTAGGTATTTTTGCTTTTCTAGCACTTTCCTGTGCTGCCCTACCTGAGTGACTACTCTTGCCATAGAAATTTATCTTTGAAACATCCATGCTGAGTTGTGAGTAAAACATAAGCTAATAGGAATAGATTGCCTTAGTGCGCAGTTGGCAAAAATAACCATTACCCATGCATTCTGAATGGTCAGAAAGGCAGGTACCAGCATGAAATGGTATCGGAATACCTTATAGTATAAAGTCTTTGCTCAGAAGGTGTTATAACAGGTCTCCTAATTCTCGGAATGAAATTGGTACACATTATGGGAAGGCAAACCTTTGGAAACTCATGATTCCAAGCCCAGGTAGATGAAGTATAGTTTACTTCCTTTACAAGTACGCCTAATAGTTCAAGCAAATCTGATCCTGTTTTCCAAATGTCATTTTTTAAGTACATTTGTTTTTTATCTTCGCTATCTCTCTCTCTCTCCCCCTCTCCTACCCCTCCAATTTCACATAATTCTTCCTGCTCTTCCAGATTCAGATATTAAAGACATCTGAGGTTACTCAACACCTGCCCAGGGAGTGCCTTCCAGAAAACCTGGGTGGGTACGTCAAAATTGACCTCGCCACTTGGAATTTCCAGTTCCTGCCCCAGATGAATGGCCACCCGGACCCCTTCGATGAGATCATCCTGTTCTCCCTCCCTCCTGCCTTAGACTGGGACTCGGTACATGTTCCAGGCCCCCATGCCATGACCATCCAGGAGTTGCTGGACTATGTTAGCACTAGGCAGAAGCGAGGCATATATGAGGAGTATGAAGACATCCGTCGTGAGAATCCCGTTGGCACTTTCCACTGTTCCATGTAAGTAGGAAAGGTGGAGCTGACTGTCTGCGGTCAGGATGGCTTCTGTCCCGTGCTAGCAGCAGCTCCTCCACATCTCACTTCCTTAACGCAGACATTTGTGTGAGGACGGTCACTCATTTAAATTAAATAGTTTCTCTTATCCAGAAAGGCACCTCCGTCTTTGGCACTCAGCAACAACATACTCTGCTCTAAGAGGAGCACTGTAATAATGGACACATTTTTTGGGTCATTTTCCTGAAATGCAAGTGTTTTTAGGGGAAAAATTATACAAGTGTTTTTAGGGGAAAAATTATACAAGCCATTAAAAGGCTGGTCATTTCTCCTGCCTACAGTATGCTGTCTGCTCTGTTCATCTGGGTGATTTCTCCTTAGACCATTTCTAGTAGAACATGCCTTCCTGAGGAGGCATACTTCTGCATTTAAAATGAGCCATAATCAGTAAGAGCAAAAAGTTGTTTCTTAGGAATTTGGGATTTTTCTTCTACCCGTGTCCTATCACAAAACCTCCTGGCTAGTTTATAACTGGGTTGATAACTTTGTTGGTAATAGAATATAAATTATTTTTAATTATCATGTTTTCATTGCCTGCAGCAATTACTCTCCAAGTAGTGAGTTCTGTGAATTGAACATTAGGCTCAAATGCCACAGTAGCTAAAATCTCCTCTGTGGTTCAAGTTATTTACCTTCTCTGCACCTTAATTTTCCTGTAATAGGTGACTCTGCTACCATTTACTTTCTTAGCTTAAATGTTGTAGGAATCCATAATTCTGTGAGTACCTCTTCCCCCTTTGTGATTCCTGTCCAACTTAGTCAATGTGCTAGAAAGAATGTGTAGGGAGAACCTTTTAGCAAATGGAAAGAGGGAAAATTCAGAAGAGGGAATTCGAAACTGAGATAGGGGAATTAGAGCAGAAGCGATTGAGAAACGAGCCAGCAATAGCAAGAATTCAAAGAAAAGAGAAGAAAAAGGGAAAGCAGAGTGGTTAGCAGGTGGAGAGTCTATTCTTTTCTCCTATGTAGCTTCCTTCCCGACCAGCTCAAGACTCTGTTTGAGTCCTAGCAGTTTTCCCCTATTAGTTTTGAATCAGGGAAGTACTACAGAGCAGGAAGCAGAACTGGGTTGCTCAAAAGGACACACCCTGTCTTGGGGAGTCCTGACCTTGCTGCTGGTGCTTCTGCTGTGAGGTCCTTGAGATGTCATTTCTGCAGGACCCCCTTTCCACCTATTAAAAGAACGGGCTTAGACTGTCCTCTTGATTCTCATCGTTCATCACTCAAACTGGCTGTCATGTCATAATATCAGACATGAGAAGCATATCCCTGTCCTTTGGAGGAACTTCCTACTCTTGCCTTTCTACAAATGAATGAGCCTCCTCCCCACCCCTGTGGCATTTCAGGATCATCATTAGCTCCAGACCTCTGCCCCACACCAAGTTCCAGTTGAATTTTTTACACAGGACAAACTTTGTTTCCCTTGAAATTCTAGATTATGAAGTAGATACCCATGACTCTTCATGGACCAAGAGACCTTTTGTTATTGTTATAGGTTTTCCCCCCTATACCTCCCCCCCCCAAAAAAAAAGATGGCTTTTTAAAAAATGGAACTTTTTATTAGGAGATAATTGTAGATTCACAAGCTATGTAAGAAATAATACTCAAGTCATATCTACCCTTTTCTTATTTCCCATTGTAATATTTTCCAAAAGTATAGTATAGAATCCCAAGCAGGTCATTGACACTGATACCATCCACCAGTCTTACTCAGGTTTTTATATATATATATATATATATATATATATATATATATATATGTATATATATTTCATTTTATGCAGTTCTTTCATCATACATGCAGGTCCATTGCTGCAATCAAGATTCAGAATTCCATCACCATGTACTTAACCTCTGTATTCACTAATCTGTTTGCCAGTACTGTAATTGTGTTATTTTAGGAATGTTATACAGAAATGTTGTCATAATGCATGTAATCTTTTGGATTTGCCTTTTTTCAATCATTATAATTCCCTGGAGATTCGTCCTAGTTGTCACGTGCATTAGTATTTTGTTCCTTTTTAGTGTTGAGTGGGGTTCTATGATATTAGTGCACCATAGTTTACTCATCTGTTGAAGGACATTGTTTTTTTTTTTTTTTTCCTAGTTTTTATCTGTAACTAGTACAGGTGCTATTAAGGTTTGTGTTCAGGTTTTGTATAAATGCCACTGCAGCCTGAGTTTGATCCCTGACCAGGGTGCTGACCCCTGTGGCACAGCAGACCTCTCCTGTGCCGTCTCCTGCTCCCCTCAGCAGTGCATTTCAGTAGGTCTGTCTGTTCTTCTCCCCACTCTGTCTGGTGAATTCTCTCAACTCCTGCACTGCTGGCCTGTATCCCAGTTTTTCTATGTATAAATAAATAAAAACAAATCTTTTAAAAAACAGTTGTATATATGTAAGTTTCCATTTTTCAGGCATTAATACCAAGAATGCTTATGAGAAACTTCTCAGCTGCTTTCCAGATTGACTGTCCCTTTCATGTTTCCTTTTCTCTGCTCAGCAATGTGTGTTCTTTGCTTCTTTACCAGTGTTTGATGTTGTCACTATTTTTTCATGTTAGCAATAGCTATGGGTATGTATGAGATCCTGCTGTGGCTTTAATTTACATTTCCTTCATAATGATGTTGAACATCTCCCCGCCCCCCCCATGCTTATTTGGCATCTATAGATCCTTTTTGCAAACTACCTTTTCATGCCTTTGTCCATTTTCTATTTGAATTTTTAAAAATGGTTGATACCACATCTTTATCTGTTCTCTGTTCGTTGGGTTGTTTCCATATCTTGGCTATTGTAAATAATGCTGTAGTGAATATAGGGATACATACATTTTTTCAAATTAGTATTTTCATATTCTTTGCATAAATACCCAGATGTGAAGTAGTTGAATCATACGGTATTTCTAGTCTTCATTTTTTGAGAAATTTTCTTTTCCACGGTGCTTGCCCTAGTTTATATTCCTACCAAGAGTGTACTAGGATTCCCTTTTCTCCATATCTTCATCACTTTTTTTTTAAGTCACAAGATTTTTTTTCAAGATTTATTTATGCATACAGAACTGGGATACAGCCCAGAGGTGCAGGGGCGGTGAGAGGATTTACCAGGAGTAGAGTGGGGAGCAGAATAGGCCGACTGATGAAGTACACTGCTGAGGGGAGCAGCGGGCGGGTCAGGAGAGGTCTGCGGTGCCATGTGGGTCACCTCTGGGGCGGGGGATTGAACTTATGCTGAAGAGGCTGCGTGAGCTTCACAGCACTGTGCTTAAACCTGTTGCGCCACCAGGGAGGGCTCAGTTGTTGTTTGATGATCTGCATGGAGTATGATGTGGTATACATACACAATGTAAGACTGAATTCTTAAAAGAAGATGAAATCTTTTTTTTAAGTTATTAAAAAAAGATGAAATCTTATCATTTGCAATAATTTGGGTGGAACTTAAGGGGATTATCCTACACAAAATAAATGAGATGAGGAAGACTCATAAATACCTTTATTAGTATGGATGATAAAAAACTAAATAAATGAATAAACAAAACAAAAACTTAACACTTAGATTCAGAGAACAGATTGATAGTTACTGGAGAAAAGTAAGATTGGAAGTGTCTAAAAGAATACAGATGAGCAATTATTTCATGGTAGATGGAAAAGACTTTTTTAGTGGTGATTTATTTTTTTTAACTTTTTTTTAAGTTGTATTTATTTATGCATACAACAACTGGGGTACAAGCCAGAAGTGTGTGTGTGTGGTGGTGGTGGGCAGGGGAGAGGATTCACAAGAGACAGAGTGGGGAGCAGAACAGGCAGATCTACAGAAATACACTGCTGAGGGGAGCAGTGGGTGAGACAGGAGAGATTTCCTGTGCCACGTGGGTCAGCTCCCTGGCCGGGGATTGAACTTATGCTGCAGTGGCTGTGGATAGATTCATAATGCAGTGCTTTAACCTATTGCACCACCAGGGAGCCCCTTTTGGTGGTGATTTTCATGAGGTATATACAGCTGAGAGAGTATAATTCTATATACTTGAAACTTATATACTGTTATAAACCAACATTATTTCATTTTTCCAACATCTTTGTAAGTATCTCTGCTTCACTTTTTGGGTATATACTGATTAGTTCCCTTATTATCATTTTAGTGAGGCTGCTGGATGAAGTAAAGTCAAACATGTTGACAACTGCCTTGTTGAACTGGAATTTGAGAGTTTAATTTGAGTATTTCCTAAGATGAGTAGTAAAAAATTTTATTTGTAGCTAAATTTTATTTGCTGTTGTAATCTTCTCCTTTTTTCTTTTGAATGGGAAGATATTTATTTATTTCGTAGTACATATTGAGCATGTGAACCTTATGTGTTATTATATTGACTAGATAATGCCTCGTTCTCAGGTCTCTGCTCCCAGCAGTAATTGAAACTTATTTTTGTACTAACACACTTCATACACACACACACAGTGCCCCCACCTTTTCTTTACTTTCACCAACCTATTGCATTTCCTTCAGGTCTCCAGGGAACCTAGAGAAGAACCGCTATGGGGATGTACCCTGCCTGGACCAAACTAGAGTGAAGCTGACAAAACGAAGTGGCCACACTCAGGTAGAGAGATAAATTTCACTTTTTCATGAGCACTGAGGGAAATTTAAGCCTCTTCCAAATTCAAGCTTACAAATACTGTAGTAGAATGAACATGGACTCTAAGCCAGAGTGAGAAAAATTTGAGTTAAATTTGCTACATACTAATCAAGGCTCTGTATGCCCACAGAATCCTGAGTGGCAAGTAGATGAAATACTTTATGCAGATGCCTGTTGCATGAGGTCTGGTATCTTGTGGGTGCTTTATAAATATTCAGTTACATCATCCATCATATTGGTCGGTGTAAATGCATCAGCACATGTCAACTCTCATAAGTAACCTTTGACTTTTCCATCTGAAGATCTAACCAAATATTTTGGACATCTAGTGTGTATTTATATATATATATATATATATATATATACACACACACACATATACATACATACATATATATATAAATACCTAATGATAGAGGTGAAATGGTTAAATGGCTATCATTTAACATTAATTTTTGTAATGTCTGCATATTAAGAATCATATATTAGTACAGATAGTGAAAATATTATTGAAACTCTTAATGTTCTTTTATATCAAATCTTTGCCCTCACACACATTATAGGAACTTCTGTAACTCCCTTCTTTGCTCTGTGGTGTAACTTGGGGAAAACATTGCCTTTTATTTGGCCATATGTGGTATGTGGGTAAGGATCTGAGAATCATGGTTTCAATCACTTTTGACCCAACTCTTTCAAGCACACAAACTGGTTTTGTAGTCCTGACTGGTATCTTTCAGAGCGTTTTTCTGCAGGAACTTTCACTGAGCATCTGACTGACTGAGGGCTGGAGTCAGAGGTCTCTGTATTTATGTCTTGTTGAATATTTTGTCTCCAGTACCTAGCAGAGTACCTGGCATGTATCAAACATTCCTTAACTATTTGTGAATAAGTGCTGAGTGAACCCCTTTATCTCAAGAGGGTAATTCTAATCATACTGTGGTTAATTTGAAGATGATCACCGAAGTTATAATCCTTCTCATTTCTGCAGGCATTGGCAAACTTTATTTTCACAGTAAGTGGAGAATTCAGCTTTATTAGTTAACCAGATTTGCTCTTAGAATTCTAATGACATTATTTTTTATTCAGTGTGCCCCATAACATTAGTGTACTTGGTTTCATTCTCTCTGCAATTCAGTTTACCCTCAAGTCTCTACTTTATTTCTGTGGTCCTTTTCAATTATAATGTCTGATAATTCTTTTGCAATTGCTGATTTTAATTCCCAGTGTTCTCAGAGCAAGGATTCTAAAAGCTGGTATCCCAGTTAAAAGGAACTAAGTTATCCTTAAAAAGGGTGACATTTCTTTTCAAAGCACGATGGTAGCTCCAAAAGTTACAACTTCTGTGCTGATGTTTATTGGCACATTTATACTCCTCTATGCCTTCTTATCTGGATCCTGCAGGGCATGCATTTGAATGTGTCAAGCTGAGCAGGATGGGCTTTGGCTGTCTGTGGGTTGGGAAACTTGGCCAGGAATCATTGTTACTTTTAGCTTACTGCATCTGCTGTAGGTGGTTCATTAGTTCGGTGAAGGTGTCCACGTCAAGATAGTGAGGTCAATGCCACCTGCTGTGAGATGAGAGAAGAACAGAAACTCTTGCCTAAATAATTAGCGGGAAGGTAAGTTGGTAGACTCACTGGCTAGCGGACTTATATCTAGGTAATACAGGTTTGACCATGAGAAGGAGACACTTTCTGAGGGTGGCTGTGGGTTCTGACAGTTCCTAGTGTCCTTCAGTGACGGCACCTAGTAGAGAAGGGGTGATAAGTTAGGGACCTGTCCTGGTCTCTCTGTGTTGAGTAGGGAATGGCTTTTGCATGGCTTACTCTTAAAACTTTATTTCTTTGGCACTCCTGTAGCCTACCACACACTGCCCCTAACAGCTAGATACTCTTAACTAGCTGTATCTGACTTAAACAATCATTGCTTCCATGTTTCTCTTTATCTGCTCGAATTAGAGGATGTTGGTAGAGATCTTGTGAGTTGTAAAAAATGACATTGAAGGAAGAGTGAAGACATTGGGAAATGGGAGGAGACCCTCAGAGACAGTGAGTCAAGAGTTTTTCGTTGACACACCTCTGCAGTTGGCTGTTGGCTTTGTGTCATAATAGGAAGCAATAGACAGTGGTGCTAGATGGGAGTCTAGCTTTCTTCCCTTTCTGTCACCTGACCTTCTTAAACATGTTCCTTCCTAAGTTGTTTGACTTGCCTCCTTTTGGTCTGGAGCTGCAGTGCTGCAATTTCCAGTGGACTCCTTTTTTGCTAAATAATAGCTTTATTGAGATAAAATTCATATACTATACAGATCACCAATATAAAGTGTACAGTTCAGTGGTTTTTAATATTTACCACCTGAAAAGGAAACCCCATGCCCTTGTCTGTCACTCTTCATTTCCACATACCCACCTTAATTTATTTAGTTTACTTATCTATTCTGGACACTTCATATAAGTGGAATCCTGTATTATATCACCTTCGTGTCTGACGTATTTTACTTAATATGTTTTCAGGGCTCATCTATGTTGTAGCATGTGTCAGCATTTCACTTTTTTTATTACTACAAAAATACTCTGTTGACACTTACCTGGCAGGGGAGACACCATGATCACAAAGGTGTTTCCCTGGGCGAGGCTTATCCATTGCTCTCCAGATGTGCTGACCCCTGCGACTTCCCCAAATGTGGGAAACTCGGCTGCATGATTTGTGGTAGTGGGGGACTGTGTCCGCGCTCTCTCCTCAAAACAAAACAAAACAAAAATAATACTCTGTTGAATATGTGGATACACTACATTTTATTTATACATTCAGCCAACATTTGAGTTATTCCATATTTTGGCTGCTAGGTGTTTTTGTATGTAAGTTTTTCTGTTGATATGTTTTCATTTTCTTTAGTAGTGGAATTGCTGGGTCATATGGTAACTGTCTAATTTTTTGTGGAACTGCCAGACTGTTTTCCAAAGTCACTGAACTATTTTACACTGCCCCTAGCAGTGTATGAGGGTTTCGATTTCTTCACATCTTTGACAGCGTTTCTTGTTAACTTTTACCCGTAGCCAACCTAGTGGGTCTGAAGTGGTATGTTACTGTGGTTTTGATTTGCATTTCCCTGATGATATCCATTAGTGTATCTTCTTTGGAGAAATGTCTATTCAGGTCCTTTGCCCACTAAAAAAAATTTTTTTTAAAGCTGTGGAGGTATGAGAGTCCTTTATGTATTTTAGATACAAGTCCTTTATCAAACACGTACACTCTGTGGGTTGTTGATGGTGTCTTTTGAAGCATAAATTTGAAAACTTAGTGTAGTTCATTTTATTTGTTTTTCCCTTTGTTCCTTGCCTTTTTGGTATCAGATCTAAGGAGCCTTTCCCTTAGTCATGGTCACAAAGACTTACTCTTAACAGTAAGCGTGATCATTTTGGATTTTTGTGTGTGGTGTGAGGAAGGACTCATCTTGGTCTTTCCGCATGTGGTTACCCAGTAGTCCCAGCAATATTTGTGGAAGGGAGGTTTGAATTGCCCCATTTGCTCTGATTTTCTGCCTAACAAGAAGAAACTATCCTCACCTTGGGTTTTATTTACTTACTACATCATTTTCCTGTCCACATGGTGTATCCCACACAGCTGCAATGATATTTCCTTTGTATCATTAGACAGATTACATCAATGCCAGCTTTATGGATGGCTACAAGCAGAAAAATGCCTACATTGGTACACAAGGTAAGTTGGTTTGCCTCTCATAAAATGGACTTTTTAAAAAAAATGATAACTGGAGGTGATGTTAGTACACTAGATCCTAGCCTTTCATAAAGGTTGGGGGTGATTGAGGAAGGCAGATAAATATGTAGCATTTCTGAGTCAGCTATTCCTGGAAACTTACTGCATAAAAAAAAAACTGGAGAGATTTGAACACACAATCTGAAAGAAGACTTTCAGATTGTTTCTTAGTATTGCCAAGCCAAGGGAATGGAGCATCAGTGCTCAGTGGCCAATGCTGTGATCTTTATGTCCAGTAAGAGACAGGGAATGGCAGTGGGACTTTCCAAAGATCAAGGCTAATCTATGAATGGGCGTTGCTGTCCTAAGAGGCTTTTTCTGGTCCTTTTAGGGTGACAGAGCATACCAGTGGTATTCTGACACTGATAGTCTGTGCCAGCTCTGACAGTGAAGTGTACTGAGCTTTACAAGGATTTCAGATGGAGCTTCTTTTGTTTTAAAGATTTATTTATTTATGTATACAAGAACTGGGGTACAGGCTAGAGGTGCAGGAGGTGAGAAAATTCACCAGAGACAGAGTGGGGAGCAGAACAGGCAGATTGACAAAGTATACTTGCTGAGGAGCAGTGAGCAGGTCAGAAGAGATCTGCCATGCCATATGGGTCACTCTCAGGCTGGGAATCAAACTGTGATGCAGTGGCTGTGGACAGCTTCATAGTGTTGTGCTTTAACCCATTGCGCCGCCAGGGAAGGCCCTCAGATAGAGTTGTTATAAGTGCTCCAGTGGGCCTCAGTACTCCTCTAAGCTGGCCTCTTCCATTTCAAGGACAGTAATGCCAGCTTGTTTTCAAATAGGGTGAGAAGAATTCACAACACAAAGGACCTAACAGGCCTTAAAGCCCTTTTATTGGTGCAGAATGTGGCCAGTCAGAGATCTGGTGTTACTAACTGATCAACTATAGTATCACCAGGAATGGGTAGACATTGTATGTTGTGAAATCAGTGAGAACTACATATTACCTTTGCTGTATGTTGCGCGCGCGCGCGCGTGTGTGTGTGTGTGTGTGTGTGTGTGTGTGTGTGTGTAGAAGAACTAGATTGCAGGCCAGAGGTACAGGGGCTAGGTGGGTGAGACAGGAGAGATCTACTGCACCATATGCATGTTAGTGGCTGCAGATAGCTTTGTAGTGCTGTGCTTTAATGCCTTGTACCACCACAGTGAGAGAAATTTCTTGAGAGAAATTCACTATTAAAGTATAACTTTCTCTTTAAAATACCTTTAAGGAAAATATGATCCTTTTTTTTAAAAAAATTATTATTTATGAATACAGATTAGGGTACAGACCAGAGGTACTAGGACATGAGGTGAGAGGATTCACCAGAGACAGTGGGGAGCAAAACAGGCAGATCAATGAAGTACACTGGGGAACAGAGGGTGAGACAGGGGGTGAGACAGGAGAGGTCTGCCACGCCATGTGGGTCACTTCTGGGGCTGGGGATCGAACTCTAACTGAAGCAGCTGCAGCTAGTTTACAGTGCTGCATCCTAACCTGTTGCACCACCAGGGAGGGCCTCTTTTTTGATTTAACCTGAGCCTGAGTGATGCTGGGTGATCAGGATCTGATCAGCAACACCACTTTGCCAGTGGTTTGAATGTGAAAAATAGACAAGAAATACTTGGAGCCAGAGTAGGGGAAAATGCACCAGGATGGGATTCTGAGATGAGGGAAGGGTGTGCTTAACTTCTTGATGTGTACACTATGACAATGCATGTGCATTATAGAAATTTAGAAAATAAGATGAAAATCACCCATAACCTTAAGACCCAGAGATAATGTTAACATCTTACAGCCTCTCTAATTCTTTTCTGTGCATACTAATAAATATCAATATAAAAATATTACACAAAGGAACTCTTCCTATACATTATCTTTTATTTATTTGATGGTACTTTGTGAAAATCTTTCCACAGCAAAATGATCTTACGACATCACCTTGATACCCTGCTTATATTGGATGTGTGCCCTAATTTAACTAATTATCTCTTTGTAAGTCATTTACTTTACATGGTTTTGTCAGTGTCTTCTGCAAAGAGTAAATTTCAGTATCATAAAATGTTAGTACTTGTAAAAAGTCTTCAGTGACTTCTGAGACAAAACCATTAGTCCTATCCTACTTCCCTAAAAACCAGGAAAAGCCCTGGAAAGTACAAGGAATTATCCTGAGTTGTTATTTCCTGATTGAAAGAGAGTACCTTCCAAGTCCCTGCTCAGTGCCCAGCCCTGTGAAGATTCTGACTCTGAAAGGAGAACTTGATTAAGCACATGTTTGCAGGTTCATTCTTGCAGAGTAAAATGATTGGTGCCATTTTATACTTTCAGTGGTTAAACTGTTTCTGTCCAACTGTGCCATCAGGACCTGAGAGAAGCCCCATATGCAGTGGTGGTGAGAGAAGCTCTTAAGGAAAAGACATTTGAAAATGGGTAGAAAGTGAATGAATGCCATTGGTGATGAGAGAGAGCCCTTGAGCAAAGGAATAGAGGCAGAAGTGAGTATGAAGCAGCTTTCTGAGAAGCAGCTTCTCAGAAAGATTGAACTGGCAGGGGTATTCAGAATAGATTGCAGAAGAATGAGATCTGCTTAGAAAAGTGAGCCACGATGGCATTACAGTAGTTCAGACAAAAGAAGACCTAAACCTTATGGAAGCGAAACTGCTTAGGGAAACCAGGATGGAAAGAGAATGGGGGCAAAAGCCCACAAAAAGAAACATTTCAGGGGCTTCCCTGGTGGCGCAAGGGGTTAGGCTCAGCACTGTGAAACAGTCCACAGCCATTGCAGCACAATTTCAATCCCTGGATAGGGAGGTGACCCACATGGCCCAAAAGACCTCTCCTGTCTTGCCTGCTGTTCCCCTCAGCGGTGTATTTCAGTAGATCTGCTTGTTTTACTCCACACTTTGTCTCTGGTGAATCCTCTCTCCCCTCAGCCCCACACCTCTGTCCTAAATCACAGCTCTTGTATGCATAAATAAACAAATCTTTAACAAAGTAAAGAAACATTTCAAAGACAAAAATCTATGATTTGGTGATTACTTTTGGGTGATGAAGGAAATGAGTATGTCAGAGTAGACCAACTTTTTAAGACTGAGTGATTTAAGAATGCCAGAATTGATAACATGGGAAAGTAGAAAAATAAAGTTAATTTTGAAGGAGGATACTGAATTACAGGCCTATTGGGTCTGAGATGAGCAGACACAAAAGGGAAATGGTTTAAAGAGGAGAGGCTGAGGTGAGATGTAACTACTAGAGATGTGCGTACATTGACCTGGTCAGCCTAGATGTGTAGTTGAAGCCCCGAGTAGAAGGCTCTCAGTGAGTGGATAATAGCGCTTCTCTGATTGCCACCACAGTTTGCTTGGGGAGCGGTGAAGTGCAGACTGTGCATCATAAAGTTCTTCCACCAGCGATGCTGGTGCTGGTGAACCACTCTGAGGATCAGGGATGTAGCAAGGAGACCAGGGGCCAGCACCTGTGCCTTGGGGTTAGTAATTAGGAGGAAAAGCCTAGAAGGGAAGCAGTGCTTCCCAGGGTAACAACCCTTGTCTTTTCCATTCATTCCAGGCCCTTTGGAGAATACCTATCGAGACTTCTGGCTCATGGTATGGGAGCAAAAAGTCTTGGTGATTGTCATGACTACTCGGTGAGTTGATTCTCTCTCTTCGCACTGTATCCTCTTTCACCTGACCAAAGCATGAGTGATTCCAGAGGGGAATTTAACTGTTAGGAGCAGTGAGGATTAGGAAAACCTTGGCAAAAGTTTGAGATGTCAGCCTTTTCTTAGCTGACCCTGAGTTAACACAGCCAGGGTCTTGTGGAGATTGCTACTCCTGACTTGTTAGAGCTTTAATCCATGGTTCCAGTGCCCTTTGTAGTGATAGTCTACTCTGAAGTCCTGGCCTTAGCCATGAAGGAAGTATAGGGAAACACGTGCGGTTGGCTTTGGAGCTGGCTCTCACTTCAAAGGCAGCTGTCTCCTGTTTTCCCTTTGCTCTCTTTTTCCTGCTGTAGGAGAACTGTAAAAGAGAGGTGACAGGTAAGAGGCAGGAAGCTCTTGGAAGAAAGGGATATTTTTCAAATGATGGTTTACAAACCAAATCTGCCAAAACTACCGTTGATTGGGAGAGTAGATAGTGGGAGAGGACCACCGTGGAGTACTTCAGAGCCACTGAAGGGGTGAGGTGACCTTGACCCAGGTCTGCTGGCTCCATAGGAGTTCTGTCTTTCCCACTTGCCTGTCAGCTTGGGATCCTTGTGGGGAAGAGAATGAACAGTGTTGAGGTTAAGGTAGAGGGTTCAGTCTGAGCCACCATATTCTCTTTTCTGTCTTAACAATACCAGAAATGTAAGGAGTACCAAGTATCAGGAAAGAGTTCAAATGATATAACAGGTGCTAAAGAAATGTCTGCTAAACGAACACATGCAGAAACTTTAGCTGTTTTTACATGCTTAAAGTCAAAAGGCTTCCCTTTTCACCAGGAAGCAAGGCAGACATTAGGAGCAATGTAAGACATGATATTGCTGCTGGGGAGGTGGGGGGGCGCGGGGCAGGGGCTTGGGCTCTGCTGTGTGAGGAAGGTAGAGGACTTACTTGCTCTGTTGTCTCCAGCTTTGAGGAGGGCGGCAGGAGAAAGTGTGGCCAGTATTGGCCTTTAGAAAAAGACTCTCGGATCCGATTTGGCTTCCTCACAGTGACCAATCTAGGAGTGGAGAACATGAACCATTATAAGAAAACAACGCTAGAAATTCACAACACAGAGGTAAATCCAGGATTCTGTTTTCTTACTTTTTTGAAACTGCAGGAGAACCTTTACTATAAAGAAAATCTCCAGAAGAAACAGGATATTCAACCTAGAGTCAGTATATCTAGATTGCCTCAACACAGCTATGACACTGCTTAGGAGCAAGACTTATGCGAAATCTGGATCATACAGTACAGGAATTCTGTGCCCTCTCTAGGCATTTATCCTTTCTTTTGGGTCTGAAAAGGGTTGAGGGTAGTAGGCTGAAATCTTGGGGGTGGGAGGGTCCCAGGGTTGCAAGTATGAAAACAGCAGAAAGCTAGTCAGGAGCAAGCAGAAATGGCCTCATTAACTTTTGCTTCTTTTTTCATTCAAGGAGAGGCAGAAACGCCAGGTGACCCACTTTCAGTTCCTGAGCTGGCCAGATTACGGTGTCCCTACCTCGGCAGCTTCCCTCATTGACTTCCTGAGGGTGGTCAGGAGCCAGCAGAGGCTGGCCGTCAGCAGCCTGGGTTCACGCTCCAAAGGACAGTGTCCCGAGCCCCCCATTGTGGTCCATTGCAGTGCCGGCATTGGCAGGACAGGTAATGCACCTGATGTGACTCCCAGAGCATTAAGAGGCTGTAAAGGTGAAGAGGAATATGAAGCTTAGAGTCATTTTTTAAGAATTTGATCCATGGATGGTGAATTGCTATGAAAAATTCCTCTTTTAGTGCCCCTAGTGCTAGTTGTGCTGTCAGAATATATAACCATACAAGCTCACCCTCTGGGGCTGTACGTCCCGTCTGGATGCTCGCCCTCACCTGGGTATGGCAGGTAGCTGAGCTAGGCAGCTACTGTTTTCCATCCTCCTGCCCCCAGGAGGTTCCTACTCTGGGCTGTGCTTCCATTGTGGAGCCAGTAAACAGTTTGCGTTTGAAGGGGATGTGCATTGCAGGGACTGCTGGCCTTTCAGCTGCAGAGGGTCCCTTTCAGGAAAAGTCAGGATATATTAATAGGTTTGTGTTAAGTTTCTGTAGAGAAGTTGTAGTGGCTCTGAAAATCAGGGTCTGGGAAGTGCAAGTGCTGTCATTATATCTGAGTTTGAGGCAGGCACTTCCTCCATGTCACTTTCCCACCCACTTTGTTACCCCTATTTCCCGCCCCTTCTTGATCGCCCACGCTCCCTCTGACTTCCTCCCTCTACAGTCCTCTAAGGCCTTAAGTCAGCTGACTTCCTGCCAGTAGCCATCTGCCTTTGTTTTCTTCCATTCAGTCATGTCTGGGTTTCTTGGTAAAGGTGGGAGAGAGGAGAGGTAGACCAAGTGTGACCACTCCCTTCCTTTCTTCAGGTACCTTCTGCTCATTGGACATCTGCCTGGCACAGCTGGAGGAGCTTGGCACCCTTAATGTATTCCAGACGGTGTCTCGCATGAGGACCCAGAGGGCCTTCAGCATTCAGACCCCTGAGCAGTACTATTTTTGCTACAAGGCAATCCTGGAATTCGCAGAAAGAGAGGGCATGGTGCCCTCCAGCCACAGCCTCCTGGCCATGGAGAGTCAGTAACTGTCCCACAGGCATCCCACCTGCTGACCAGCCTTCCTTATCTACCCTGGACACCGCTGAGCCTGTAGGTTGCCATCAGTTATGTTGAAGCCATGGACCAACCTCTTTATTGTGTCTCCCGGCGCACGTGTGCACGCAAGGCAGCCTTTTCCTTTGGCTAGATAGATGTGGTGACATTGCCACTAGAAAGGGCCAGCAGCAATGTGTTCTTAATTCCTAGCACCTGCTATTGAACTGTGCCTTATTAAAACCAAATCGTGGCTATCAGTTTTTGCCAGGGGCCCCGAGGTAAGTGGGGAAGGAACCTCTCCCCGCCTTTCCCAATGCCATTCTCTTTTTCAAGGTCTCTTTCTGGTCCCTTCCCCTTTTTAGGATTTGATGGGGAGGTTTGGTGAGTATCCACCTTCCTTCCCGGAGAGCTCGACCAAGTTACATAGTCTAAGAAACGTCCTGAGTGCCAAGCACGTTTATACCTAGGGCGCGTATTCCAGTCTTTTCTGTCCTTCTGTGTGTGTGCGCGCGTGTATGTGCACTTACGTGTATGGGTCCATATGTACGTGTGTATATAATCTAAACTGTATGTGATAATATGGTCGTATTCTATAAACACATATACACAGATACTCCTTTGTAGAAGTTCCTGGGGCTCCGTGTTGCAGTTAGGTCTCCTGGCTTCTTGGACCCTACTTTTACCCAAGACTAGCTGGGGCGGGGGGTCATTGGCTCCTGCTGTCAGAATGCAGCGTGGTGGAAGAAGACACAGCCACATCCACTGCCCACGCTCCTGCCACAGGCCTCCTCCTTATACAGTGTCTTCTCTTCCTCCAGGATGCTGCCTGTCAGAGCTGAGAATACTGCTTTGTGGTGACACTGGTTTAATTCAGAATGGATTGTCCTTACCTAATGATCTCTCTGTTTACTCTGTGGACTGGGGAATAGACCTCCACTGTGATTCCAGATAGCCTCCTTCCTTTCCCTGTCCCTCAGGGACTGAGGTATAGATGAATTTACAGAACAGCCAGAGCCAGTAGCAATTGGTACGATGTCTTAGAAGGAAAGAGAGGGAATCCGGGTGTGTGAGAAAGGAAACTATTATGAGACTCCCTCCTGAGAAAATGAGCTGCCTCTCACCCCCACCTTTGTTGTTGCTGGAAGCTTCCTTTCCTTATGCCACTTGATCCTCAGAAGTCCATCTCTTCCTGCCTTCCAGTCTGCCAGGCCCTGGGTAGGTTCAGTGTCACTAAAAAACTTAAACCCAGCCTGGGAGAGGCAGTTCCATGCAATCATGGTTTGTTCCCTTTTAACCCAAACTGTCCCTGTCTGCTTCTGGCCTACCAGCCTGATGTGTCAGAGATGGAATCAACAGTCCCCAATACTATACATTTTCAAGAAAATCCCAGGAATCCTAAATCTTTCCCCATTGCAAATGAGGTTGGCAGCTGATCAGACCTCGATAATTTTATACTGTAATAAGCTCTTTGAATGTATATATTCTTATTTTTACAATCTCTTCATTTTGTATTTAACGTTAATGAAATGAGTCAGATTCAGAAAATAATTGTAAATAATTCATATTCAATATCTCACAGTGCTACAGTTTTGTATTTACATACAAATATACCGACATGATCAAATCCTTTTAGCTTCATCAATTTAGTAGCAGTCTGGTGTTGGGAACCTGAAGAAGGGGTCCAAGAGCTGATCTGGGAGGTTTGGGGAAACAGGGAGGGCTCCAGGCCTAGAAGCTGAGACTTTAATTTCTAGAACCACCCACTGCATCCATAGGCCATGGCCCTAGCCCTGGCCAGACAGAGGAACCAGCACTGTTGAATGTTTGCTGGGTGCCAGACTCCATGCTGATGTTTTCCCTCCATGATTTCATTGAAACCTCACAGCCCATTCCCAGGAACACCCAGTGAGGCATTATTCGCCCTAGGAAGGTAAAGCCCAGGGCAGGTATCGTGCTTTGCTCTAGAGCTCAGGTTAGACTGCTTACAACGCCTTGACCTCTTCATTGGTTTGCCCTCTCTTAAATATCAAGATAGGACCTTTTTTTTTTTTTTTTAAAGCTCTCTCCTTTCAAAGCATAAACAGTTCTTAAATTCCAGTTTGTCGCTATTTAGCCCATGCTACATGTAATAAAGGGTCAGTGACTGGTTCCTCTCAACAGGATCCTTGGGTCTATAGCATATTAAAGGGGTCCTTCTCTTAGAGAAATGCACACATGAGGATACACTGGTCCTTGTGGAAGAACTTAAGTCACTGCATCTCTCCCTTAGAACAGAACCAGAAGCTTTGGTCCTGCAGAGTCAGTCCCCACATCAGTTAGCTACTCCCTGTTTACTTGTGATGGTCTCTTCAATCAGTATAGTTCTAATCTGGAGAGTATGCAAATATTGGGGTGTTTTTTTTTTAAGATTTTATTCATACAGAACTGGGGTACAAGCCAGAGGTGCAGGGGCAGTGAGAAGATTCACCAGAGACAGAGTGGGAGCAGAACAGGCAAATTGATGAAGTACTCTGCTGACAGGAGCAATAGGAGGGTCAGGAGAGGTCTGCCGCGCCATGTGGGTCACCTCTGTTGCTGGGGATCAAACTCACACTGAAGCTCCTCTGGCTGGCTTGCAGTGCTGCAGTTTAGCCCATTGTGCCATCAGGAAGGACCTGGGTGTTCTTAATAAAAGTAATAGCTAAGATTTACTGGGTACTTACCTCTGTTCTAGGTACTGTTCAAAGTGCTTTGTAAGTATTATTCATCCTCAAACAATCTTTTGAGGTAATTATTGACAGAAGATTGAACCACAGGAAAAATAACTTGCCACCACCAAGAACCTAGACCATCTAACTCCAAAGTACTTGTTCTTCATTCATACATGAGATACCCTCTTAGAATCCTGATCTAATCAACAAAATTTAAGAACCAAAGTACAATACAAAAGATTAAGGCAGTGTTTTCCCCAGATGACCTGGTGTTTTTTTTTGTTTGTTTGTTTGTTTTGTTTTTAAGATTTAGTTATTTATGCATACAGAAATGGGGGACAAGACAGAAGTGCAGGGGTGGTGAGAGAATTCACCAGAGACAGATTGGGGAGCATAACAGGCAGATTGATGAAGTACACTGCTGAGGGGAGAAGCAGGCAGGTCAGGAGAGGTCGGCTGTGCCCTGTGGATCACCTCCGGGGCAGGGGATCTAACTCACATCAGAGCGGCTGCAGCTAGTTTGCAATGCTGCGTCCTAAGCCATTGTGCCACTTAGGAGGACCCAAACTGCCGTTCTTTTGGAACAAGTAATCGTAAAGGTGCAAAGAGATTCTTGAAATCTGGGCAGAAAGTTTAGGAGTTTGGTGAAATATGTAAAAAAATAAGATTACGGATAAAAAATCTGGAGGAAGTAACCTTAAACTTTCATTTATTTGAAGATACTGCAACCCAGCTGCCTTGTCAATTCAGAAGGTATGTGCAAAGAAGGTATGTGTTCCCCATTGTACGCTGAAGATGGGTGATGTGATCACTTACAGAGCGCCATAAAAATGCAGTTTCTTGGGTCCTTCCTACTAGGTCGTTAGATGGGTGACAGAATGGGCCAGGTTTGAGAATCACTGACTTAGTCCTATCCCTCACTCTGTGGAAAGTTAGCAAATTGACGTCTAAGTTTTCAGTAACTCTGAAAGAGGAATCAAAGCTGCCCCTCACACGGCCCAGAGTTGACCTGTAGCTTTAGTGTTAGAAGTTATTCAATACTTAGTCTGAGCCCATCCGTGAAAGATGTTAAAGGGGTTAAAAGGGTTGATGGAATAGGAACATAGCATTCTTCAGAAATCAAGGACTTCATCCAGAAGGTATAATGAGAACCTAAAATCAAATATTGGACTGTAGAGTTAAGAACATAGATGAGAAAGAAAGTGTTCAGAGGGGGAGAACTTTGTGGGCTAAGTCAGCTGTCTGCTGCTGGTATTTTTCCACTTATTTCCTCTGGCTTTCCCATGGTATATAATTCTTCCAACACAGAAGATGACCCCACTTATCTCGTTTCTGTTTCTCCCTTCATCCTGCCCCACCTGTCGGCTAGGATAGGACTCTAGAGATGAAAGGGAATGTCGATGCCAGTGTGCACATGACCAAGTGCAGGTAATGACAGATGCCAGTGTGCACATGACCAAGTGCAGGTAATGACAGAATGGGACTAATTCTTGGGGAATTGGGCAGATTGAACTGCCCGTAAAGGCCTACAATCCTTGGGGAGTGGGGTTGGGGAGAGGAAGACACACACCTACACACACACGTGCGCGCACATACACACACACACAGCATCCCCCAGACCTGGAGTGGGGAGACTAGGTGGAAAATTTTCTAGAGAGACTGAGTTCTTGGGTAGTTTTGATGCCTCTTTTCAACCCAAGGCAAGTCATACCTGTTTTTGATAAAAGGGGCTACAATAGATGACCGCACTGCAAGGCCACCAACTTTAAGTGTCTGGTTCTTTGTAGGGCAGTGTGATGCTCTTAAGAGGACACATCACGACCTTCTCAGGTTGGGTAAGCTCCCACTTACAGGCTCTAGTTAGCTTACTTCAAAATCTCCTCTTCCAACTTGCTTTTACTTCCTTTCCCATTTACCCCTCCAAGTTGGAAAGCAGGTCATTTGCCCTATAATTCTCAGGATTAGCCCACAGGCCTTTAAGGCTTCAGTGCTGCGCCAAGTCGGGCAGACAGTATGATTCAGTGCCAAGGAATGAGCTGAACAAGGACCTAGAGTTCCTAGGTGAGGTATTAGACTTGCCTCAGAAACCACTATTGGGGGACCTCCTGGTGACCTAGGGGTTATCACTGCTAAGGCCCAAGTTCCATCCCTGGCCAGGGAACTAACCCACATGCGACACAGCAGGCCTCTTCTGTCTTGCCTGCTGCTCCCCTTAGCACTGTACTACTCCCCACTCTGTGTCTGCTAAGTCCTGATGCCTACGTACCCACATCTCTGGCCCACACCCCAGATCTATGCATAAAAATATTAAATTAAAAATAGATCACTATTGGGCCATTAAGGCAGAAGCTAAAACTCTCCCACGTTTGGCAGCCAGCCTTTCTCTTGTGTGGTATTGCCCACCATACAACAGTTGTGAATATCAAGCATTTTGGATTGTACAGTTCTTAGTTGACCATAGAACAGGGGTCTTCTTTAATTACAGATATCTAGCACTCTCAAAAATCTGTTGCAATGTTTAATCTCCCTACATCCTTTACCAGAGCTTTCATAGAATCCTTGTTTCAGCTAAATCTGGCATACTGTGGTCCTAAATACCCAATTTTCCTGACTAAAGCCAAGGTAGACATTGCTAACTACACCAGAATCCTAACTGGGGGTTTGCATACTGGGTGGCAACTGGGAGCAATGATGCCTTTTCAACAATTTAGAGTAATATATACCTGATGGTTGTTAGGACTGTGAGAAGATGACAAGAAAGTCAGATGGAGAAAGAAGATGGTAAAAGGGGTTACAATGCCCTCTCCCTCATGCAGACTCACCCATGTCAGGTGACTTTTCTATGCCAGTGTAGTTGTCGAAAACCTCAGGACTGGCCAGATGCACAGCTAAGCTGAGGTCCGCCTTTTCATTCTATGGGCTTTCATTCAATTTCTTTGACCTTTAATGAATACTTTATTCTGTGGCCAGCAGGTAATAGAAGTTTGCAGTCTGACGTACAGGGAAGACATTGGCCTGGAGACGGCAACTTGGGATTTAGTTTAGATAGGAGCTAGGGACTTTGGAAGTTGGTAAGAGTAGTCAGTAGGGCAAGAAGAGAGGAGAGGTCTGTGGGAGCCACCAATATTTAGGGGAAGATGAAGGAAGAAAAGCCTGAACAATTTTGATTAAGAGGCAGAGGTGCAGCTTAGGACAAGGCCACCCTGTGTTCTCACAGACTCATGAGAGATGGAGAGTGGCTGAGCTGAAGCATTAGGGTTTGGAAATGGAGGTTCACTGCTTAGGGGAAAAACTGTCAGGGAGAACGCTGAATGGGAGGTAAAGGAAGAAGCTGCAATGATCCCAGTGTGTTTGCTTTCAGCTGAAGCAAAACCCACCTTCATCTTCTGCTTGTCTGAGAAAGACTTGATTTGAAGGAAATCACTGCTTTAAGAAAAAAATTACCAATGAAACACGGACAATCTGGGAAACTTACTGTTTTATCTAGTTTTTAGATTTGTATTGGAAATGACCCTGAAGGTCAAATTAATGCTCAGCAAGGGCAAGACTGGTACTTATCCTTGGGCCATGAGTGGTAATTTTTTTTTTAAATTTATTTATTTGTGCATACAGAACTGGGGTACAGGCCAGAGGCTCAGGGGTGGCGAAAGACTTCAGCAGAGACAGAGTGGGGAGCAAAACAGGCAGATCGACGAGGTATGCTGCTGATGGGAGCAGCGGGCGAGTCAGGAGAGATCTGCCTCATCATGTGGATCTCCTCCTGAGTGGGGATCGAACTCATGCTGAAGTGCCTTTAGCTTCTCAGTGCTGTGCTTTAACCCGCTGTGCCACCAGGGAGGGCCCCATGAGTGGTAATTTTAAAACTAAAAAGTCTCAAATTTGGGCCTCTCTGATGGCTCAGGGGTTAAGTCTCAGTGCTTTCAAGCTATCACCAGCC